TGAATTAGTATGTGGTTAGCGCATATTTTTCTGAGTGTATCAGTTAAATAAAGGACAGTAGTCCTGGGCACAGCCAGATAGCATTTTGCATGGAAATCTTAACAATTAAAATTGTATCTGTAGAGTAGTTCCTGGCAAAGATAACACCAATAGAAGAGATCAAATGAACATGATTAGCTGCTTAGGTAAGCAATCTCAGTCCACATTTTCAAACGTAAGTTTTTAGAATATAACACTTCTGCTTGGGATACAAAAATGATCCCAAATTATATTGACGGTTTTAGAAATCTTAAAACCGTCAATCTGACGGTTAAATCTTTATTACTAATATCAGAATATTGGTACCAATATCACTTGCGCTGGGCATATGGCTCACTATTTTCAAAGCAGAGATTCACGCTATTGAGAGTGTATTAGAATAAATCTTAACATGAGATTAAAAAGCACCCAGTCTGTATCTATCCAAGTAGTCAGGCAGTAATCAAAGCATTATGCTACTGGTATCTTACTTTGAAGTGGTTGATGAACTGTTAAAACATGCTGTGTTATAGCAAATGGTAAGTATAAACTAGATAGTATTTCATTGGATCTCTGGACACATTTAAATAAACGGCGAACTTGCAGGGGCTAGATTAGTTTGACTAAATCTACTGTTGACTTCCATGTTTAGCGTGTCATTTGTTTTTAATAATAATACATAACGCATCTACATTACAGGAATGTTACTCTGTTATCAACGTTGTCAGGGATGTAAATTGCCAGGAATGTTATAAGGTGACAACGAAGGTATCGAAATTAATGCTTTTAGAAACAACAACAAAGAGGGAAAATTATTTAAATATCTAAGACAAATTCAATTTTAAATTATATCTATGTCATTGTACTCCTCATATGGAATATTGTTTGTAATACGTGAATATCAGCTACATCAGCTAATATATTTGTCTTTATCATATTGCATTGGTTACCCTTAGTTTAGTAGTTATGTACTTAAATGACAGCAAGTGCACTTTCATTTCTTGCTGTCAAAAAAGTAAGCCATGTTTTTTTTAAATTGAACAAGTGAAGTTTGTTAAAAGAAAAAATTAGAAGTTTTAAATTTATCCAAATAAGAAAATTCCTTTTTCATTGTAAAATAGATTTCAAAATTAAAATAATAAACCGGAAAATTTTCTATTTTCCTGTAAGTTTCATTTAAACTAAATTATATACTGAGTTTTCTATATGGAAAATTACAGAAAATAATCCAAGACAAGAATATCGCTATTTTGGTACGAGCGGTAAGTCACAATACTAGTTTTCCTCGAATCACCTCGTCATCTCTGTTGCAACCATCCTAAAATGTCGGACTTCACAGTTAAACGCATTAAGCGCGATTATCGTGATATCAAAGTTAATCGTAACAGCAGTGCTATACCAATCGATATCGAACTTGTAAATGATAACTGGACTGAGCTAGAGGGTTATATTATTGGACCAGAGGATACTCCTTATGAGGGCGGAAGGTTTGTTTTGGATATTAAACTTCCTGGAACGTTTCCATTCAATGCACCAATTATCACGTTCAAGCAGAATATATGGCACCCGAATGTATCACGTGAAGGAAAAATCTGTGTAGATATTTTAGACAATGGTTGGACTTCAACTTACACGCTGCGTTTTATTCTACTCTCAATCCGTGAGCTTTTAGCCTATCCAGAACTTACTGATACGCAGAATTGTGTGTGTACTTTGCAATATAAACACAAATATCCAATCTTTGATATGACTGCTCGCTTTTGGACTGCTAAGTATGCTAATGGGCCCTATAAAGTCCCACACTGTGATCTTAAGTTGAGAGAGTTAATGAGTTATAACATGCATCAGGATTGTGCTATGCGTATACTGTCAGGCGCCGATTGGGATATGAAGGTTATTAAAGCACATTTTTTTCCACAATGCGACGATGATTCCGATGAATGAAACAGGAATTAAATATATATTTTTATATCTAAATTTAAAGTATATTTATTTGTGGTCTTTAAAATTTCGTAACAATAAATGTATGAAGTTACTTAGTAACTAAAGATTGCGTGTTTTTGGGATTTACTTTTGAAATAAGTTTGATATTGAACAAGAAGTCAATATTTCTTGATTTCAACCTATATACTTTTCAATTTTTTCATAATCAACAAATAGCTCATATCTATAATTGAATCTGGAATTGTTTGGTGGTTATTATTCTTTTAAAAATAATGTAGAGAGAACTTGTACTATTAAATTATAGTGATATAATATTATTTTCTATATGTCTTATCTAAAATTGATTTTCACAAACTTCCAGTGAATAAAGCAGGATTAATGCTTTAAAAAGCAGTTGATATATTAAAATGATAGACATTTTTAAATAATTTTTTAAAAAAGTAGTTTAATGCAATATTACTAGCGTTATCTATGCAATTAATTTATTTTACATGAGGCATCGGATTTATTCCACATAATTTATATTTTTGCTTTAATGACACTGCAATGGAGCTTCCCGGTATTTACTAAACTCAAAACTTTCACGCTGCGGTTTTTAATTACACCACTGGGCCAATAAATCCCAACCAATAATTGATTTGCTGCACTATGCAGTGGTACTTGTTGCTTATTGTATTCCATTTTATTTGTTTTTAATGCATTTTAAATTAACTATTATTCCGTTTAATTAATATTACTCATACGCTATGCACGCCGCTTTTATGCAGTGTTATATCAATTTAAAGGTAATTAAGTTGAAAATATAAACGCAAATAAATTAGTTGGCAGTAATAACATATTTATTTAAAAAAAATAATATTACTATAATGCAGTTACAAAGGACATTAAGAAGGGTTCTGTTTCCATTCATTAAAATTTATTTTTACACTTCAATAATTTATGAATTCAACAAAGAACTACGCTTGAATAATATTTAACATTAAATTTATGGAAAGGTTATATGCAACTTAATTAAATAAAATTTAATTAAAGTAAGTGCGTTTTCTTTTGCAACTTAATTTTCTTGTTTTTTTTCTATAAAAATATTTTTAATTTAAAAATATTGATTTTTATTTTAGTAGAAAAATTTGACGATAATAATATGATTTAGTTATTTTTTTATTCAGAAATATAAATTGAGCCCTACTCTAAAGATTTTTGTTTTATACTGTAGATATATGTGAACAATATGACAAATAATAATAGTAGTACTATAAATCTATGAACCAGTATACGTTAGTATTAAGTTAGAGGGAACAATGAGAGCTATACCAAAACGTTGACATAAACATATTACAAATTGAGCTGCCTCACTGGGTTAGTAATATGTGAGAATGGATTAAATTCTTCGAGTTAAAAATATTTTTTTTTTTGGTACCCAGTGGATATAAAATATGGGAAAAGAAATACGCATCTTCGCTGAAAACGCCAGTTGTCAAATGATTTAAAAGCACTCTGTACTATAAATATTTAATGCTATTTGTATCTTTAACCCTAAAAAGTTAATCAGGACTTTAAATTAAAGTCGGAATGTCAGTTTATAAGAGAAATTTACGCTCCCAAGGAAGGTGACCATTCCGACTAATACAAATGTTTTGTGTTTTAGCTAAATCTTTCTAAAGGTTTAGATAAATATGAACACAAATATTTTGAACCTTAAGCTAACAGAAAGTATGGAGGTTTTCCAATGAAAGCAGGAACATTTCTTGTTAAGCAGTTTTTAATACAGAACGATAAAGGAATTTCTCAATATTCTTCAAAATTTCTCTAATTATTGAATTTCTAATGTTGGCTAGAACAGAAACTTCAATCAAAGAATTATCCTTCCAGTTCAGTTCAATACCGAAGAGTCTTGAACTCCCCTTCCGTACAGGGACTACATTCTGCCAATTTAGCATATCAATCTTTTTAATGCTTCATTATCATTATACAATTTTTAAATTTAAATTTTAAATTGAATCACATTAATATTTCAACATTTTTTTTTGTTTCAGTTTATTTCATTGGAGATAACGTCGTATTTTGCAAATTTCGTAAACTGATTTTCTCTTGCACTGCACGTGCCAATAGCAAACGTGATATCACATTTTACTTGTGATATTTTGATGTTGCACATGTTTGAGCTCAAATTTGCTTAACGAATTGCTGCTGTGACCCTGTCAAAATGATAATTTTGTCACATTTTGACTGATTTCTGGCATATTTAGCCAATAAATTTTGTTAGTATTACAAGCAATTGAAGATATTTTCTGAAATGAAAACGATTTGAAAATGTCTTCTAATTATCGTAGGTAAACTTATTTCAATTTATTTATCTCCATATATATATAGATATATACATAGATAGATGTTATATATATATATATATATATATATAGGTAGATGTTATATAGGATTCCATATTCATGCTTCTGTTGTTTAGTTATAATGAGTTATAATAAAGATTCGGTAAAAAGCCAAAGTGCCAGTTAAAAGCAGTAAAAAAATGGAAAAAACTAGAAAAAATAATTATTTTTAGTAGAAAGTGCCATTTTACAGCATTAAAAAACGCAAAAACGCAGAGTTTTCCATATTAAAAATATAGAATTAACTGAATTTAAGATTCTGTTCATGACATCTCAGTGAAACGTGTCGGTAACATTTTTGATGGTTTGAAGAATAAAAATATAATTTAAATGATGTGAAAAATAAAATATAAAAGCACAAAATAAAATATTTCTCACAAAAAGTTTATGCAAGAAAACTCGCACTTTAATGAGAAATGGTTAATTTGCATTTTATACTTTATTGTGAGTAAAACGAATTCTACAGTGAATTTATTTTCAATTATTTTTCGAGAAAATTGCCAACAAAATTGAATGATGAAAATTTAATTTAATTGTTAATAAAAGTAAGAGATGTGACAATTTATGAGCAATAAAAAAAAAATAAATTTTAAATTATAAAATTAAGCGCTACATTCTTAAAAAATAATGTTCATTATAATATCTACAAAGTATTCATACTCGAATAAATGCATCAGGAACAATTGCAGCCTCATTTTTCTTTTTCTTCTGCATTTAAATTATATATATTAAATATATATATTTTATATAATCTGATATTTATAATTAAATTTGTTGATTTATTTGTTTACATGACCCTTTATTATTTTTTTTAATATATTCAGATCAGTAAATACCTGACTTAGTCAGGTATAGTAAACAAACGACAGTAAGCCACTGAACGGGCTGTTTAAAGGACTCTACTGTACGTGCTGCAGGACGACATAGATCTGTCAAAGTATACTACGTAAGTATGTAAGTATGTATTTACCATAAAACTGTCGTTAATTAAATAAGAA